CACACATGCCACCACTGTTTCAGACTGTCATTTATTCTCCACAGGTGGAGGGTTATGAGCCCACATGTCGTTTAGGAGCAGTCACAGTTTATAATGCCTAAGGTGACTGCAAATGATGAATGGTAACTTGAACTTCACCCACAACTTCTGAGAAGGAACCTAATTTTTTCACTCTTCCTGCCTCTCCCAGGGTTGGGCTCAGACCCTCACATCTCTCTTGAGGGCTTCAAGGAAGGAGGCATTCAGCTGAGGTGCAGCTCGAGTGGCTGGTACCCCAAGCCCCAGGCTCAGTGGAAAGACCATCGGGGCCAGTGCCTGCCTCCGGAGTTCGAAGCCATAGTCCAGGATGCCCAAGGCCTGTTCAGTCTTGAAACATCTGTGGTCGCCCAAGGGGGTGCCCACAGCAATGTGTCCTGCTCCATTCAGAACCCTCTCCTGATCCAGAAGAAAGAATTTGTGGTCCAAATAGCAGGTGAGTGGGTTCCAGCTGACCCTCATCTTCCTAGTCATCACATCCTCCATGTCCATTGTCCCAAAGGCCACCTATACAGACACAATGGTATGGGAGCCTGGCTGTGTATTGAGTAAGCTGAACTTGACATCTAAAAAGTCAACAATTTGGATAGCAGACACCTACTAAGAATACAACTGACAACCCAAAGAATAAGTGGGGAAGGCCCCAAAGAGCCAACATTACAAGACCATGAGCTAAACCCCAGAAACTACTCATTGGAGGTCATGATGAGAGCCCAAGTGCTCCTGAAACAATATTTACTGAGTACCCAGAATGGGCCCCAAACCCTTATCCTCCGATTCATATTCCAGTGGGGAAAACAGATGAAAAAAGGTATATTGTACATTAGAAAGTGGTAGGTGCTATGGAGAATAAGAAAGCAAGGAAGTGTGCTAAGGCACATCAGCAAGGTGGGGTGTGAATGTGGATTTACAAGTGGTGGATTAGGGAAGAAGTCAGTTAGGCAATTTAGCTTTCAAAAGGATTTGCATACATCTCAAAAGGATAAAGAAAAGATTCACACATTTTCAAAAGGAAATGATCTAAGAAAGGGGTCAGGGGAAGTCTCTTTCCCTTTTTGCACCAGCAAAATTCCAGTATTTCTTCTGTTCAGATTTGTGTGTATCCTTTACAAAGGGTGTGAGTCACATGGATGTCTGTTAGGAGGGCACTCAGGTAGTGGGAACAGCAAATACAAAGGTCCTGAGATGGGACCCCGTGTGGCTATTGGAGGAGCAGAAGGAGGTGGATGAGGCTGGAACAGGGATAAGGTCAAGGGTAGCAGGTCAGGGTGGCACCAGACGCTGATGCTCTTAACCCCGAGGTCAGTGCTTAGCAAACCTGTGGTGAAGGACCAAATCCGTTGCGGCCCAATATTTTTTGTACAAGACAATAAAAATGGCACTGCTAGAAAACTCGGGGGGTGGGGGGAGAACATTTTGCTAAGTGAAATAAGCCAGGCACCAAAGGACAAATATTGTATGATTCCACTTGTATGAGCTACCTAGAGTGGTCAATTCACAGAGATGGAAATTAGAATAGAGGTTCCCAGGGGGAGGGGGCACGGGGAGTTAGTGTTTATTGGGGACAGATTTCATTTTGAGGAGAAGAAAAAGTGCTGGTGGTGGTGATGTTGCACAACGATGTGCAGGCACTTGATGCCACTGAGCTGTAAGCTTAAAAATGGCTAATTAAATACGTAATTTTATGTTATGTATATTTACCATAATGAAAAGTATATATTTTTAAAAGACCACTGAGATTAAAACACTAATTTTTTCATAATTATCGCCAACAGACAAAATTATCCAGCTGCCACAGAGCTTCTAAAGGGCTACTCTCCATTTTTGCTCCTATATATTTATTCTTTGGCCACTGTATGCTCCCTAGGGAACCTGGGGAAGAAAGAGGGGACTGTCAGTCAGCCCCCACGCGGCTTTGCTATCAATGTTTTCCAAAGGTGTGTTGAGAAGTAGAAGCCAAGAGTTTGCAAGAAGCGGGGAGGTGGCTTATGAATTCGACAGTACGGGTGGAGAGCAACAATTCACTGCGGTTGACCTTGGATTCTTAGGACCTTCAGAGGCGGGCAAAAGTGGGAAGGAGTCGCGGGAGGTCAGGGACTTGGTCACAGAAGGGCGCATTCACTCCCACTTTAAAAAATGGCTGTGGCGGGCCTGGGTAGCTTAATGCGCCAGCCGGTCACTCGGAAGGTTTTCCAGCACACGCTGTCCAGAAGAGTCTGTAACTTAGTGTTTAATGGAGCCTAGATCGAGACCACTCCCTGTGGGTATTTTCCAGACGTATTTTTACCCGGACCCTCCCCGTGGAAGAGAGCTTTCCTCGGGACTCTGGTGGGACTGCTGCTCCTCCTGACACTCCTCATGGCGGTGGCGCTGTGCTTCTTTCTCAAGCGACGGCGGTCCCAAGGTACCCGCAGGCTGGGCGGTGCGCACTCCTGCGCGCGCGGGCTCTGCCAGCAATAAGGTGGTGGGCGCTGGGCTGGGCTGCGCTGGGGGCGGGCGTGGGGCCCTCAGGGAGCGCATACCCACCACAGCTCTCTGTCCTTCTTTTCAGAAAAGCTGAAGGAGCAGGCGGAGAAGGACAAAGGTAAGCGAGAGGAGTGGCGCGCTCTCTGCCCCACCTCCGGCTAGGAGAAGGGGTCGCTGGGGCCAGCAGGAGAGTAGGCCAGACCCCGGGGCCTTGGGCGCAGTGCAGAGCTGCGGCTGAGGATTGCGCGTCCGCCCTCCCGGCCTCGGAGCCCGCTTCCCCTGCGCATCCAGCCCGGTCTGGTCCCCAGAACGCACGGGGACCCAGTCTGTGCACTTTGGGGAAGTGAGGCCTCAGAGTTCATCCATCAAGATGTCTCTCTTTTCTTCGTTTCTTCTTCAGGGAAACTCACAGCAGAGCTGGGTAAGTCCTGGGTGCCACCCCCCACAGTGCTGGCTGCGGGCTAGTGGGGTTATCCGACGGGCGCAGTGGGAAGAGGGCTTCAGTGACTTTAGACTCCCTTTGGAGAGCGATACATGGCAACTACCTAATTCTAAATCCATCCCTCTGTGCCTCTCACCTCTCCATTCCCAACAGCACTCTAAGTGAAGTAGCCAACGAGGGCGGACCTCAGACCCTCTGGACAGACTCTGCCAACCCCTCCCTGCCAATTACGCAATTTTGTTACCATGCCACCATTAAATGTTTACTCCCACGGGTTCCTCTCCCTACGATATCATTCCCTTTTTAATTCAAATGCCACTGAAAAGAGTGTCACCTTGGATTTGCACCAAAGTGAGCATAGCATGTAGTGTAGTCTCAATTAGTGTTCAGCGTTGCCATTCCCAGGAGCATTACTTTTGAAAGAAGACACAGAATGGAGAAATCAAAGGAATGCATTTCTAGTTGCAAATTATCAGTCTTGGCACCCAGCCAGAGGAAGTAATTGAGTGGGATGTCCTCCCAGTCCTTTAAATAATGCATGCAGTAAGTGCCCCTGAGGCTCAGGCAGGCTGTGCTCAGAGCCTGGGCTTCCGCAGGACATCCTCCCTGGGAAAGCTGGTGATTTCGGGGCAGATGATCAGCAGCTCCTTCAAACCAGACCTGAGCCCTGGGACGAGTGTCCTCAGTACCAAGATCCACCCCTCTCCCCCTATTGTGGGCGATGCAGACTCATGCCATTGGGGTGAGCGGTGGTTTAAAACTAAGGAACAACTTCCCAGTGGCCTGACTGCCTAGGAAGGTGGTTCCACTCAGCCGAAAGCTGATGTTTTCTCCGTGTGTTCTGCTACAGGGAAGCTGCAGATGGAGCTTGGTAAGTGACCCCTCTTAGAACTATTTCTTCTTGTCCACCTTTTAGCATGTGGTTATCCATGTATGTTCTTCTCACTTCCCAACCAGGTATAATGCCCAGACTGCACCCCTGCTGGCAATGTGGGTGGCAGGAGAGAGACCAGGGGGCAGGGGTGGGTGCAAATGCAATGGGGAGCCTGGTGTTCTAATTCTGTTTCTCCTTCGCTACTTCAGACTGGAGAAGGGCTGAAGGCCAGGCAGGTGAGTGAAGCCTGTTTCCCTGCCATGGTCCCGTTTACATCTCAGCATCCCAGTCATTCGCTCTGATTAACCAATCACACTTCATTCCGGTTTATGTCACAGCTTCACCCGGCATGAATGAATCTGTGTCACTGGTGGAGGTTATATTCAACTTTTGCTTTTATATTGTCCTGAGCTATAAGCGTAATGTAAACCATTAGTGCCAATCCTGGCTGCACATAAGAATCCCCTAGGCTTCTGGTGCCCACTTCAAAGACACTGACTGACCTGTGGGTCTGGGGTGGGCATGATACCCTATATGTAAACATTTCTCCCTGTATCTCCCTCCATTCCCCCATAAAGCAACCAGTCTAACATCTATCTTTACAATGTATGTATTTTTGCAAAATATGAACTTCTGTTTTGTGCACATGCATTTCAGTTTATGTAAATGACTCCTACAGTCTTGTTCTGTTCCTGGCTTTTCTCACTCGTCACTGTGTTTTAACATCCATCCCACCCCTACATGTGCATCTGGTCTGTTTCTCCTTCCTGCTGCGGAGAACTCCATTCTAGAGAGCCCCTCTCCTGGAGAGACAGCCAGCCTGCCCCTAAGTCCACACCATCACAAACCACAACACAAACATGTCGCCTTCTGGCCCTGTGTGGAGATTTCTCTGGGATGTATACCCAGGAGGGGAATTGTTGGTTCATGGGGATATGTCATTACGTGAGATAGAGGGATCCCCGAAGGCAGCGCCAGCATCCTGCCATTGGCAGTGCATGGACGCTCCACGTGCCCACATCCCATGTGCGCCAGCTTCTAAGTTTGCCAGTCCATGGGGATGACTGATCCTCATGCTTTCAGTCTGCACTCTGAACGTTGAGGAGTTTGGGCATCTCTTATATACTAGTTGGCTTTGGGGGCTTCCTCTTCTGAACATTGCCTGTTCATGTCCTTTGCC